AGATATTTACACAATCAATCTTTGGTGCTAGATAATTAAAAAAAAGAATAATAATAAAGTTAGTACGATACAGCCATTAACAAATATGCTGTTTAGATATTCACTAAGCTGAATTCAGTCGGGCCCAAAGCCATAAAAATAGTGACGTTGAAACTTACTGCAGTGGTAATGAGTTGTGAAATGAACTTGCTTTATCAATTGTTGCCTGTATAGTGTTCATTACTGTTATATTCCCTTTCAAAATCTGTTAGGAAAAATCTGAAATTGGGCAATAGAAACGCAATAAGACCCCAAGAAATAAATCTGCAGAGAAACAAAGTTATAATTTCTTTGCTGCATTATCACGTCAACTATTCCTTGTGCAAAATGCTTTGATCGCCAACTTGATATAAACTTAACTCACAAGATGTTAAGTCAAAAACGAAATAAGATATTTCTCATTTGTAGTTAGTTATCTTCTTGATTTCGATTCTTGTGTTGATTGTTTAATGCTTAGAAGGTAGCAGAGTTCGACGGGAAATTTAAAAGATAAAAGGTTGGCAATGGAAGATATAGCAGATGGTGCTTCACTCAAACAACGAACGAACTGATTATGAAACTACAGTATATTCACAAGTATTTCATTTGATGCAAATAAGTATGGCACAAGACCTCAGTTTTGAGCATCCCTAGGGTTAAACATGTGATGGATTATGGCAATGGAAATGGTATGATTAGCCGTCCCCTTATAAGGAAGTATTCGGCATTTATTGACCAACCAGTTGGCATTACTTTGGGTTGAAATTTATAAAATCTTTCTATTAAAAGAGTTTTCAAGAATATGGGTCTCTCGATTCCACTGTTATCGCTCTTTTCAGAACTGATGGTGATTTTCTTCCTAACCTTTTCTTCGAGTAGGGTTAACCTCGCATCCTGATTATTTCATTACTTTCCCTCGGAGTTACATGTGATATCCATTTTAATTGTTGCTGCTGTAGAAAATCCTCTAAAGACGTATTTTCTCTGATTTCGTAAATTCGTTGTTTCTGATTCTTTTATGCCAGTCCAGGAGATTTGCTGAGGGGTGTGGTCAACACTATAACCTACAGGGTACATTCGTTCGAAGCCGTTTTCGATTAGTGATTAGAGAAAACAGTTGTATACGACTGACACTTTAGCTATTTCTGAACATGTTGGATGTTATGCATGACATCCACATGAAAGTCTAGATTTTGACGAGGCTACTTAAGAACGTGACATGTTTTTCGATTTTATAGCAACTTGCATTGATGAGCGAAACTATCCTAAATGGTATCTATTCTATATTCAATTTCCTTATCCTGTATACTTAATCTGTTATATCTGATACCCACAGCGAGGTATAAAATAATTAAGAATGCATTTATTTTGTGTTTAACCACGTCAACTCCATACTGTCTTCAATTTTTCATCATATTACCAGTCTAGACGAAAGGCTTTGACGGGGATGGGTACTGACTTTGTTCGAGAAAACTGATCTTTAGATATTTGGTAATTTGAAACCTTGTCAGCGAATGAATGTGACACAGATAAGAGTGGGGCGAAAGTATTGTTTAAAGAAAAAATCTATGCAAAGTTGTAAGCGTTGGCAGTGGCAATGACGGTTTTTTTAAGAAGCGTAATACGAAAACAAAAATAAAAGGCAAGCGGAAAGGTAGCAAGAACTTTGATAATACAGATATGATTATCGCAATTTTAACTTTTCAAAATACGAATATTTCTAACGATTTTTAAGATAACAGCCAGAGTTTATATGTTCTTCCCTAAACACGGCTTTATTAATCGAAGATATCCCATCTTTTCGTTGTTAGTGAAATACAATCTGGGCGAAGATATTTAGGGCACACAGCACACTAAAACTTTTTTTCATGTGCTTGGTCCATTCAGGACGTAAAAGTTTAGGTATATTTGGTTTATTTTGTTTTACGGCATATCAATTTCAATGGGTTATTTTATGCCGACAACATTTTTAGGATAGATTCGTATGAATAAAATGTGTATTCTTTGGTTCATATTGGTTTGGTTTATTTTGTTTTACGGCATATCAACTTCAATGGGTTATTTAATGCCAACAACATTTTTAGGATAGATTCGTATGAATAGAATCTGTATTCTTTGGTTTAGATTGGTTTGGTTTATTTTCTTTTACGTCATATCAACCTCAATGGGTTATTTAATACTGACAAAAATTTTTATTGCTGGTAATATTTTTTTGTGTCAAACATCTGTTTCTGGCAATATATTTCCTTAACTGTATTGCTGGTAGTAATTTTTTTACAAAAAGTATTGCTGGTAATAGTTAACTATTTGCCCATTGCTGGGACCCTAACAGGTTCTACCACCCAGAGTCAGGATGGACCTGGGAACATCAGCAATTAAGAGGTGGTTCCACGCTCCTCAAAACCTCCTGATCAGAGGCCTTGCTGTTGGACGTAGTTTAACGTCTTACCCAGGATGCGGATGTAGTTTAACATCTTAACCAGGACGCTCAGTACGTAGAAGATCATGGCTCTCCACAACTTCCTATCTTCGTAGATATAAGTAATGTTCATCATACCCTTCTTAGTCCTTGTTCTGCCATTTTTTACACAAACCAGTTGGGTAGAATACTTAATTATTCTCTCTGTTTCTCTTCCTTTAAATAAGCCTTTTGAGTGTCAAATTTTCTAAACCCTTTTTCCTAAAAATGTCAACTAACTCTTTCTACTTCCGACTAAAAATGTCCCGTTTTGATTCCATTTTCCTTACAAATTCATAGTTTCTCACATCTTCCCGCCATTGTATTATCAGCATCCTTCTGTAGGGTCACATCTTTATTGCCTCAAATGTCCTGACAATTTCAGCATTTTAAAAGCGAGAAGAATCTTTTCGGATTATTCAAAATGTAGTTTTATAATTACTAATGCTATTCCAAAGATCAATGAATTCCAATTTCATGTCAAGCGGAATGCCAAGAATTTAGTTGAGTAAAGGGTACTGAAGAAAGTTTACGAATTAATTTAAGTAACGTGGAAAAGATAAGAATCCATAATCTGATAGCAATTAGCACCAAGAGCAAATAGAAAACCAAAAAAAGGATTCTGCAATCTCAGACTGGAATAGCTCGATTCTCAAAAAAAGTTAATTCCATTCAAAAGCCTGAGAATGATACTGGTGTTATTATTATTGTTATCTTATTTTTTTGTTCAGATTATACAAATAATGTGAAATTGTAGTAAATAGTCTCGACACCTAGTAATTTAAAGTTATAGCGTTTAGTGTAAGGTAGAGCCTTAGCAAGTTGCCTGTAGCGCTCTACCACTAAGCTCAACTCGCAAGGACTTGCGGAAAGAGTATCAGTAAGAGAAACATTGGTCGTCTGTGTTATTGGTTGCAACAGTAGCAGTGACAAAAATAACCCCGTACTATAGTTTGTATTAAGCTGAGTCGAGGTGGTTGACGTAAGTGACTAACAGGGTGTTTGTTCGTTTGGTGTTGCATGACGATGATATGTTAAGGAATACTATTACATTTGGTATGGCTGTTTTAATTCCTGACAAGAATATGCGTCAAATCTGCAGGTAGGACATTGTATATTCATTCATTCATTCATTCTCTCTCTCTCTCTCTCTCTCTCTCTCTCTCTCATACACACACACACACATACTGTCTCTTTCACTCTATCATCCTCTCTCTCACACTCATCACTCTCTCTCTCTTTCTCTCATTCACTTTCTCTTTCACTCTCTCACTCTCTCATCACTCTCTTTCTCACTCACTCTTTCTCTCACTCACTCACTCTCTCATCACTCACTTTCTCTCACTCACTCTCTCTTATCACTCTCTTTCACTTTCTCTCACTCATCCTCTCTCACTCTCTCACTCTCTCACTTTCTATATCACTCTCTCTCACTTACTCTCCTTCTCTCTCACTGTCTTTTACACAATCTTTCTCTCACTCACTCTCTTTCTCTCACTCTCTCTCTCACTCATCACTCTCTCTCTCTCTCACTTTCTCTCACTCTCTCCATCACTTTCTCTCTCACACTTACTCTCTTTAACTCTCTCACGTTCTCTTTCTCTCACTCACTCTCTCACTCTTTCTCTTTCTCTCTCATATGAATTTAAGTGTAGGACTAGTTTGACATCTACATCTCACCATTTTACTCTTGAGATTGCAAAGTGTAAGCGAAAGTTCGATAATAATAGTTTCTTCTCTTCCGACATCTTGCTTTCATGTCAACTACGATCTTTAAGTGCAACGTCAATCGTCATCTTTTATTCTCCTTTATCCTCAATAACGTAATTTTCTTTTCCTTTATCCTCAATAACGTTTACTCTGTTTTTCATTCTCAGTAAATCCATGCGTATTTGTGACTTTTATTCTTACTTGTGATGAAATATATATATATATATATATATATATATATATATATATATATATATATATATATTCAGACTCAATGAATTGCTTAATTATAATTATCAAATCCTCCTAATAATTTCTATCATTGTATATCATTGCTTGAACCGGCTTCTAATGCTCAAGTTTGAGAGGCTTGGTGATAGTAATCGTGGCTCCTGGGGGCACAGTCCTATGGTTATTGAGCATATGTGAACGAGCGGCGCAATATTGAGTCTGATTTGCAACCCCTTCGTCACCGAAGCCCGTTAGAACAGTTGGTATGACGGTTGCTTGCTAACCTAACTGTTAGGGTTTCTATTCTCGGTAATGGATGCGCACTGCTGATGAGTCCCAAATATAGTACGAAACGGCCGTCCAGCGCTTTCTGCATTCTGTTGAGGTTTCTTCTAGACTCGATGAATTGCTTAATTATCAAATCCTCCTAATAATTTCTGTCATATATATATAGATATAGACAGTTTCGCTGTATCAAAGCTCATCAGTGTGATAAGACATGCGATTGCTTCAATCCGAGATATGTACCGGGTTTAAAAGCAAAATTATCCAATTGTTACCTTAAGCTTTGAACCGCTGTATCTTAGAAATGATTAAAGATATCTTACTGGAATTCTCCCATATTTTATAACACTATTGGAATCTACTTTGAACAGTGAGAATATATTTAGCTTTAAGTTGAAATGATGATCCCCCTTGCTGTTGTAAGTTCGTGATCCAGTTTTCCTCTCTACTGTTCCCGCTTTTTTTTAAACTTATTCACCATTCTCTTGATGGTTCTTGAATGGACTTTGAAGATGGAAGCTAAAGTATGAATGTTGGTACCATTACTGCAGGCTTGAATGATCTTTTTCCTCTCACCATGGCTTAGTTGGGAAGACATTGTGGGACTGACACAAAACGATTTTAACCTGTTCTCTTTCTAGCTGAATTACTCAAGGGATTTTGCTATGATTCTTACGACAAATGGTGTCAACATGTCTAAAAGTTTTATCTGAAAACCTAGGGAAATGAAACTCAATTAGTTGAGCGTTTTTGAGATATTAAACACTTTGTGGGATGAACAGTTACACACGGTGTATGTATATATATATATATATATATATATATATATATATATATATATATATATATATATTATTATTATTATGGAATCGACAAAGTTCGACAATTATTTTAAGAGATTTTATGTTTATACATTTTTTTTATAAATACAAATATTTAAGTAAATGCTCATATCATATCTGCTCAAAGCGTATCCAAATGTAAGCGGATGAATAGTTTGGATATTGTCTGGATTCGGACAACAATCTTTGCAATTCACTAATAAGAGATGTCGATATGAACAGATTAAAGATCGATAGTTCATGAAACAGAAATTATGAGCAACTTTTTAGATAGATAGATAGATAGATAGATAGATAGATAGATAGATAGATAGATACGAACACACTCGGTTAGATAGATAGATAGATAGATAGATAGATAGATAGATAGATAGATAGATGAATAGATAGATAGATAGATAGATAGATAGATAGATAGATAGATAGATAGATAGATAGATACAAAATACACCCGGTTAGATAGATAGATAGATAGATAGATAGATAGATAGATAGATAGATAGATAGATAGATACGAATGCCCTAGTTTAGATAGATAGATAGATAGATAGATAGATAGATAGATAGATAGATAGATAGATGACAGAATAAATGCAATATCACTGCTCTGTAATTGGTACATGCATCCATGATGATGATCCGTCGCATCTTCACAGATGATGGCCGCCTAATTACGTTCTCTCCCCATCTCGCACCTCTCTCTCGTGTATCGACCCGAAGGTGACTTGCCAGATCTGTCTGCAGATTCGCATGACTTATTACACAAGTAACAGACGAACAATGTGCTTGCCACAACCTTGATGGATTCACGCACATACATACATGAATAGCTGGCCACCCGTATTCGTGGATACCCGTCTACTAGGGCGGCTAGCAACACCCTATATGCAGACATTTACTCAGGCGCATTCGTGTTTACTCAACACACACAGGTCCCAAATGTGGGTTATACTGCACCAATACTGAGCAGACCTTAGTTACAGTTTCTGGGAGAGTACGTGTTGAACAATGCCAGCACGTACAAGCACGCGACCACGATGACTCGTGACTTCGTGCCAGCACAGCTATCGACGCCCCCAAGGGCTCCGTCTACCCAATTTCACTCACAAGGCTTGCTTCAACCCGTGGTATGGTTTTCAAGTATTTCCAAAGGTGCAGCACATTGAGATCGACCTCTCTAGTCCGATAACATCAGCATGTCTTCTTTCTGACAAATCGACCATGGTGAGATTCGAACCCGAGTCTCATGGAAATCTGAGCACTTAGAAGAATTTTATTGAAATGGAGAAGAAATGCGAGAATGAGAAATAGAAATAAAGAAATAGAATAACACGGACAGAAACGGGGGCCTGTGGGAGGAGGAAGAAGAATGGTCCTGGCATATAGTCCACAGACAAAAAGAATCAGGGCAGGGGTACTAAAGCAGAAGAAGAAGAAGAAGAAGAAGAAGAAGAAGAAGAAGAAGAAGTGGGGAGTTGAGGAACAAAAAGATTATGAGAAATATGTGAAGAAAAATAATAAACTATAAAAAAAGAGGAAAAAAATATAAATTTCTCAAAGCAAAAATCGAAAAAAAGGAAAGACGGAAATAAATTGAAGTAACGAATATTTTTTTTAAAAGAAATAGAGTAAGTCAGACATTTTAAAACTGAATAGATATTACAAGAGATAGACTGATGGAAGATAAACAAGGGACGGAGATGAGTAATGGAGCGTGGGATAAAAATGCTGACGTATTAGTCATTGTTTTTCTTATTATTACAATTAGCATTTTGGTATTCCGTTCTGGTTTCTCGAAAGCACATTTCTTGTCTAATACGAAATCGCAAACGATTTGTAATTCGCGACGCGTCCCACAAATTAAGACAACATATTTGTTTATAAACAGAGAGGCAATGATGCTTTGAAAAGCAAGAATCCACTTTTCCCTGCCAGATATCTTTATAAATCGTCTGATCATTAAGACGACACAATGTTTTGTAAGAAAAGAGTAAGACTGAAGCAGCAGCAACAAAAAAAAAAATGTTTCTCCCATTGTTAACTTTGAAATAGCCAAATTATATAAAATGAATACACAAAACCTCTCGGGATTTAAAAAGAAATGTTTTCGGGTCGTTTCGTTCATTTTGGGACATAAATTGAGTCGAGAACCTTTTAGCACTAGTTTGTATATATGCACACGTGATCTCTCTTTCTGTCTCTCTCTCTTTATCTCTCCCTCTCTCTTTCTTTCTCTCTCCCTCTCTCTTTCTTTCTCTCTCTCTCCCTCTCTCTTTTCTCTCTCTCTCTTTTTCTCTCTCTCTCTCTCTCTCTTTATCTCTCTTAATTTTCCTCGTCATTTTCAGGGAATATTTACATATTGTCGTTTGTAATTCCCTTTTTTCTCTCTCTCTCACACTCACTCTCTTTGAAGCCTTCTTCTTTCTCCGTTCAATTTCAGTCACTAACTTTTACTATCTTTCTCCATCTTTTTCTTTCTTTCTACCTCTTCCTTCTCGTCCACTTTTCACTTTCACCTATTCTCTATCTTTCAGTGTTTTTTGTTTCTCTTTCTCAATTAATGTTCGATTTCTCTGATTTACATTCAAATATTCTTTTTCTTTCTCGTATTCACATTTTAATAGTTTCTTTATTTCTTCTCTAATTCATATATTAATTGTCTCTTTCTTTCTCTCACTCACATATTGTCTCTTTCTTTCTCTCACTCACATATTGTCTCTTTCTTTCACTCATTCACATATTGTCTCTTTCTTTCTCTCACTCTCGTATTAATTGTCTCTTTCTTTCTGTTTCACAATGTAGTTGTTTCTTTCTGTTTCAGATATTGTCTCTTTCTTCACATATTAATGATTCACATTTTAGTTTTTTTTCTTTCTTTTTCTGTTTCACATTCTATTTGCCTCTTTCTCTAATTCACATTCTAATTTCACATATTGTTTCTCTTTTCTCTGATTCACATTCTATTTGCCTCTTTCTCTTATTCACATTCTAATTTCACATATTGTTTCTCTTTTCTCTGATTCACATTCTATTTGCCTCTTTCTCTTATTCACATTCTAATTTCACATATTGTTTCTCTTTTCTCTGATTCACATTCTATTTGCCTCTTTCTCTTATTCACATTCTAATTTCACATATTGTTTCTCTTTTCTCTGATTCACATTCTAATTGTCTCATTCTTTCTCTTATTCACATTCCAAATTTTCTTTCTCTGATGCATATATTTAATTGTCTCTTTCTTTCTCTGATTCACATTCCAATTGTCTCTGCCAAAATCTCGCTGCCTTTCCTTTTTCCTTACTCCTTTATTTCCCTGTTTATTTCTCCCTTCTTATGTGTTTAGTTATTGAATTTTACATCTTTCTTTTACGTCGTCTTTCTCATTCTATCCTCCTTTTTCTTTCCTTCTCATTCTCCTTAACTTCCCTTTCTCTCTCTCTCTCTTTCTCTCTCACTCTCTCTCTCTCATTTTCCCTTTTTATTTATTTACTTATCTCTTTCTGTATTTATGTTTCTATCTCTGTCAATTTCCTTTTGCCTATATTACCTAGAATATGTTTATAATCAACGGATATAAGTATTATTACGTTTTAATTAAATTTACTTTATATACTTGCGCATAGGTTGAAAACATGAAACGGTCAAGCTTTATTTTTAGGTACGAAATCATTATCTATATGTTTCGTGTATAGGTCGACTCTCAAGGCTTGTTATTAACATAATGAATTAAGTATGTCTATCAAGCTAAAACTTTCAACAAAAATCTATTTCCACGACTTAATTTAAACAAAGGAAGAACAGAATATTAATGTAATTTAAAAAAAAACATATTTTAATTGACCAAGTAACATCTTAACTATGTACTTTTATATATTCACCATGTGGCATGACAAATAGAATTTTTTCAAAGATACGTGGTCCAATGATAGTAAGGCACATAACCTTGTTGAGTCATTTTTGAACACGTCATGATTACGTAGTTTTGAAGGCCTTCATAACACGATTAATTAAGTCACAAAGAAGTAACGCAATACGTTAAAATATTCAATATTTAATCCACATCGAGAGGGATTTACTCCTAAGCCCACTCGATAGATGCTTACGACATTTTCATTCTTATTCTACATCATATATTTCAATAGTTAAGGTGTTTAGCGAAGACAGATATTTATAAGCCTAATTCTCCTGATCCCTGCTATTGTATGAGGCGTTCTCCTAAACTAACTTTGTTAAATGTTTACAATATTATCAGGAAGATGCCGCCTGCCAAAGAATGAAAGCAAATTATTTTATTGATTATTGCATTATGAGTTTACTTATTGGGCGCTCAATTATTGTTGTCTTGTGCCAAATTAAGTTTTTTATTCTTTCATAACAGACAATCATATATCCTAACCTTAAAACCGCGTGCTGACACAAAGAGCTTTTAAAGATACTGAAGGATTATTACTAGATAAAGCAAACACGTTAAGAAGACCGGAGAAGGTATTGGCTGAAAAAACAAAGATGACATATTACATTACTTTCATTATTCAGATTATTGTCCTCATCTTTGTCGCCATATTTATTACAACGTTTCGGCCGTTGTACGCTCCGGCCTTCTTCAGGTGGTTGGAATGTCGAACTGACACCCGCTCGCTGGGGTAGACTGTTCTAGTTTCACGTGACATGTTTAATGGATGTCAGTTATCCGTTATCTCCTGTTAATTTCCCTTTGAAACCGGGTATTGAACTCACAGGCTTTGGGTCCTGTCACTGGATTTAACCAACGCCTTTATCCACTGTGCCATGTGTCCTTGAGGAAACAAAGGTTTCAGTTCGACATTCCAACCACCTGAAGAAGGCCGGAGCGTACAACGACCGAAACGTTGTAATAGATATGGCGACAAAGATGAAGACAATAGTCCGAATAATAAAAATAATGTACATAATACCTCATCTAAGAAATATAGACAGATACTGAAAGGCCGAAACGTTGTAATAAATATGACGACAAAGATGAGGACAATAGTCTGAATAATGTAAATAGTGTACATAATACCTCATCTCAGAAATATAGACAGATAATGAGGATATTAATTAACATTTAACCGTTTCAACAATGAAACAGTGGGACCGAAATGCCAACCTAGTAGCACGCTTAAATTCATGCAGATCGGGCATCAGTGAAAGTAACTCGTCAGAGCAGTTACCATAAAAATATCTTCTCGTGACGTCTGTGAGAAAGTAACTGTGATCGAGATGCCAGATAAGGACATATCACATTGCATACCCGTCTCTGGATTTTGTCGAGGACCTCGAGATGAACACCAGGGGGCACCAGAGCATATATGGCAATAGTATTCAATGAAAGGACGAATGGTTGATTTGTACATTTACTCTGTAATATTTCTCTTTAAAATTCATCTCATATACGTGCTCTCACGATGTGTGAAAAGATTACCTAGATATTCATTGAATTTATTTGATTACGACAAAAGGCAGATGAGAGATGGGTGTGATGGTTACCTACATGTTACAGGTTATAAGTACGTTGCTTAATTTCGATGTAGATGAGCTGACCTGTTTGTTGTAGCCTCAGGCAATGTGTTCAGAAACTGACAAAACAGACTCTCTCCTTTGAAATTAGTTTTCTGTTAATACAAAAAAATAATTCTTCTTTTTTTCTAGGTGTTATCATGTCTTGAAGCCGCCTTCAGGCAGTTAAACATTTCTTTTGATTTGAAGAAAATCCACAGAGAAGATTTTGAATTTGGTTACCGGTTTTACGTTTTGTTTTTGTTTATTTTGTTTTACAGCATAACAACCTCACCTCAATGGGTTATTTAATACCGACAAGATTTTTAGGATAGGTTGGAAGAAATAGAACATGTATTCTTTGTAAGAAATTTTTTCGTAGATCAGGTTTCATTGACGTATTTTTGTTTTCGTTTATTTTGTTTTACGGCATATCAACACCTCAATGGGTTATTTAATACCGACAAGATTTTTAGGATAGGTTGGAAGAAATAGAACATGTATTCTTTGTAAGAAATTTGCTTGTAGATCAGGTTTCATTGACGTATTTTTGTTTTCGTTTATTTTGTTTTACGGCATATCAACACCTCAATGGGTTATTTAATACCGACAAGATTTTTAGGATAGGTTGGAAGAAATAGAACATGTAAAGAAATTTGTTTGTGATCAGGTTTCATTGACGTATTTTTGTTTTCGTTTATTTTGTTTTACGGCATATCAACACCTCAATGGTTTATTTAATACCGACAAGAATTTTAGGATAGGTTTGAAGATAGAACATGTATTCTTTGTAAGAAATTTGTTTGTAGATCAGGTTTCATTGACGTATTTTTGTTTTCGTTTATTTTGTTTTACGGCATATCAACACCTCAATGGGTTATTTAATACCGACAAGATTTTTAGGATAGGTTTGAAGAAATAGAACATGTATTCTTTGTAAGAAATTTGTTTGTAGATCAGGTTTCATTGACGTATTTTTGTTTTCGTTTATTTTGTTTTACGGCATATCAACACCTCAATGGGTTATTTAATACCGACAAGATTTTTAGGATAGGTTTGAAGAAATAGAACATGTATTCTTTGTAAGAAATTTTTTTGTAGATCAGGTTTCATTGACGTATTTTTGTTTTCGTTTATTTTGTTTTACGGCATATCAACACCTCAATGGGTTATTTAATACCGACAAGATTTTTAGGATAGGTTCGCATGAATAGAATATGTGTTATTTGTAAGAAATCAGTTTGTAAATAAGGTTTCATTGATGTATTTTTGTAATGAAGGTTTTTGTCGAGAGTCAAGTGTATTGCTGGTAATATTCTTCTCAACTGTATTGCTGATATATTTACTGCAAAAATCTATTTTTCTCCATTCCTAGTGTTTTGAGCCCAGTTTGGAAGGGTTCTCTATTTGCCCATAGCTGGAACCCTAAAAGGGGCTACCACCCCGGGTCACGGGTGATCTTTTTAATAACAACAGTGGTTTCACGCTCCTCAAAACCTAACGATCAGAAACTTTGCTGCCGCATTGAGTTTATTGTTATATCCAGGACGCCTGGTTTTACCTATCAAACGAAATTTTGGTCAAGATTTTATTAAAAGACAATTGACATGCATCCAGATATCTTGCTATTGGTTGGACCCTTTCAGCCTCATGATTTTATGCTGATACAAATAGTATCGGTAATATTAGCCGTTTCCTTATAAGCAAACCTTTGGCAATCATTGACCAAAAAGCCAGTCCTACTTTCGATTGAAATTCATAAAATCTTTCTATTAAAACAATTTTAGAAGAAAATAAACTTCACAAGTCCAAATATTCGTTATTACCCTTTTCAATATTGATGGAAGCTTCCTTCCTATCTCAGAGATGTATGTTATATTTTTATATATTATTATTATTATTGTAGATATAATATTATTATATTATAATATATATTATAATGAATAGTTATAATATTTTAGTTGTTGCTATTGTTGAAAGTCCTCAAGTCATGTGCTTTCTGTTATTTGCTACAGTACTTTGTTTATGATTCTGTCCAGCTAGTTCCTAAAATTTGATGAAGTGTGGTTCCAGCTAAGATCTACACGCTTCATTCACACAAATCCATTTTAATCATTGATCTTAGAAAATCGATTGATAGCTAAGATATTTTTGAACGTGATTTCGCTATGAATAGCATCCATATGAAAGTCTCGAAATGACGAGGCTATTTAACGAACAAACTTATTTTGTAGTATATTCTGGTGTTGAAAGAAACCACCCCTACTTCAACCTGTTACTCTAGATTCAATTTTCTTATCTCCCAATTTTTGTGAAGTCAACGAACACTCGTTGCCACTTTTGTAATGCCAACGAATACTCGTTTTCACTTTCGTAATGCCCGTTGCAGCAAAGACTGTAATCGCAGATACAACTATAGTAACGCCCTTCAACAATCCTGGTGTCTGATGCCTTCGAATAACAATCGCATTAATAGTACTTGCTTGATAATATTCGCTTGAATAGCAACCAACGAACAGTGATCCGAATAGTAATACTTATATTGATGATATTCACTAACCGCTCCATGCGGTCAGATGCGGTACGAGGCCAAGTTTATTATGGGGTATTCGAGCCCGTAGACTCGCTCAAAAATCCCCCCCGTAAAAAATAGGGTCGGGTAGCTGTCTCCCGAGACGAGATTCTGCCCTTCGACATCGCCTCGTCTAGGGATCCTCTCTGCCCGGAGGCAGAGAGTTTGACCAGCACACTCGGAAGTAATCTGTATGATAATAAACGCCACGCTAATTCCACACCACGCTAACTCCCATATATACATTTTCTTTACCATCACGTGATCTACTTATTCAAAATGGGATCGCCTGTGTTTGCTCTCTGGTGATCTGTGTTCAAACAGCAGTGTCGGCAGCGACACTTTATTCCTATATAACACGTGGGTAGGTAGACTACTGTGAAGATATTGTAATGGTTAAACCCTTGGCAGGAGAAATCGGCGAACCAGGTTC